GCGTTTGCGCCCTGCGTTTTGCGCTCTGCGCATGGACCGTCAAAATAGAGCCCTAAATGGGCTTTCTAAAGTTATTTGCTTACTATTTTCCTTGTTGATGTTAAAAAGAAAGTCAGAGCCACAGAAAGTTTTGACTACAAACATAAATCCCAGGAAAGTACATGCTTCATATGATTTTATTTTATGAAGCGCAGTGACCTGAATTGTGAGTGAAGCATCTCTGTGACAGACTTCCTTAAATGAGGAAAATTTTTACAAACACTTTAATTTCATTTAAATGTGTCACACTTTCTCTTCTATATTCACTGTACATGCACAGTTAAAAATACAAAAAAATATGTCTAATTACTTTTATCTACACACATTAAGACAGTCATGGGTTTTCAACAATTTTATCGGACACACTTTATTTTAATGTACAATTCACGCTATTAACAAACTATAAACTAAGAGGATGAGCTTAATAATCTATTTATTTACTGCTTCTTAATAGTTATTAAGGTTGTAATTGGATTTAACCCCTTCAGACCTGAATTATGTTACAAATTTCAGAAAAATGGGATGTCATGTGATGTCCATTGTAATGGATGCAGAGTCTAAAGGGGTTATGTATTGGGTAGGATTAGGCATGTAAAGTAAGATCATACTTTACAGGGCTCAGACGATCTTATTGGGAAGGAAAATAATTCAATGCTTTTGCATTCTTTCACAAAATTAGTAATGATGTTATATTGTATTGAGAAGCCACTGTCAATATGTGTTTGTGCTAACTCGTGCTGTCAAAAGTGTTGTCTTCTGATAAAAAAATAAAAATAAAAACAATAAAGTTAGGCCTACCAGTGTCACAGAAGGGGGACGAGACCAGAGCTGTCAGTATGAATGACAGTTTATAATGAAACAGGAACAGGGATGAGATGAACTGGAAAAGTCTATTGCAGGATATTATGAGCAGTGGACCAGATGAAGTGGAGGGACCGGAGGATGATAAGGAACCAGGAACACAACACTCAGAGGAGACTAGGAGGGAATCACACTAGGAGGAGGAGAGACACAGACACTGGAGATCACAAGGAAAATGACAGGTATATCTGATTCACTATAGGTTTCACTGACCGTGAGAGTTGTCCTTCCGACTTGCGATGAGGTTGGACACTGAATGAGGGTCGTACAGGGATTATATGGGGTTGGCATGATGATCGGGATGACATGCAGGTGTGGGGCTGATTAGCATTTAGGCGACTGTGACCGGGGTGATTGGGGTGACTGAGAATGGGGAAAACCTGACCAGGGGTGCGTTTCCCAAATTACGACGTAACGTGAACTATCGAAAAGAATGATGTATTAACGAGTGCTTTCCCAAAATTTTTGTTTCTCTGTCGCAGATCCATCATTTAAATTTTAACGTTAAATGCCCATAATGATGCTCTAAACGGGGTGGAGTAACTACTTCTATAGAGAAAAAACCCATCTTTTTTGTGCAACTTATATTGTTTAATACATGCACACACATAAAAAAAATTTATCCAAAATTAGTTTTGGTAACATGCACATGTTTTGCATAATAATTGATATATGTAAATGGCACATACAGGGCCTGTGTTTCCTTTACAAATATTATTGAGAACATTATAAAATCTATTCTAAAACATAATCACTTACAAAAGCTAACATATATTCTAATATCCTATATAAATCATATAAATAAATAAATAAATAAATAAATAATGAGGCTATTGACAAAGGTAGCACAATAGTATGAAAACCACTAAAGCTGAACTGTAAAAATACTTTGAAAGCAAATTACAGCTAAGAGAGATGATTTTAATGTTCTAAATCAATGGTTCTCAAACTGTGTTACGTGTACCACTAGTGCAGGGGTGGCTGACCCTGTTCCTGGAGAGCCACCTTCCTGTAGATTTCAGTTGCAACCAATGTCAAACACACCTGCCTGTAATTATCAGGTGGTGTTCAGGTCCTAACTAATTGGTTCAGGTGTGTTTGATATGGGTTGCAACTGAAATCTGCAGGAAGGTGGCTCTCCAGGAACAGGGTCGACCACCCTTGCATAGTGGAACGCGGGCGTTCTTCTAGTGGTACGCCGATAAATCAAATATGTCATATTTACATGCTACATATCTTTAAATAAATTATCAAAAATTATTTATATATGAATATGACAGAAAGCCTATATTTATGAGGTCCAGGCTACATTTCCAGGTGCTGATAAACCAGGATTTTTTCTTTTTTTTTTTACTTTTTAAGAACAATAATAGAAAAAATGTAAGAAAAAAAACATTTAAGAAAAAAAATTTAACTTTTAAAAAGCACATATTAATTTAAATGTCCTTAATAATATGAACTAATATGCATCGTTTATGAACTGTACAGAGCTTTAGCTGCTTTACTGGACCTAATACGCTTCTGTATTTCAATACTGCTCATTATGGTGGTGATTACAAAGATAACTTTTTTCTGAGGTGGTACTTGATGAAAAATATTTGAGATCCACTGTTCTAAATGAATAGGGCATAGGGGGGATAAGTGAGAATAGAACACAGTTAGGAACTATGTTTCTAATAAAGCTCCAGAGGTGTACTTGCAAGCATACAAGTTTGCGACGTAGTTTGCGAATTACTTGCGAAACTTTTACGAAACTTGCAACATTAGTTGGCTAACAATAGTTTTTCGGAAACGCACCCCAAGCTGTGACAACCAGGTAAAATAAAATAAAATAAAATAATTAAAAGTTTTTAAAATATTAAAATATATATTTTCAAAAATATATATTGAATGCCATTACACTTTTTTATTTAGTAAATATATGCATTTCTATTTATTTAGCAAACAATGTATTTTTTATAAGGGCTACTTGAATTTATTTCAGGCTACCAAAAACTCAAGAGCCCGAAAAGCTACCAGAGATGAACAAATTTCCTGCTTTATAAGTGTTAATAAACAGTTCATATTTTAATAATAGTCAGGTTATAAGCCAGTAGTTAATAGTGTGAATTGTTAAAATAAAGTGTAACCTCATTTTTTTCACAATTAATTATAAACTACAATGACATAAAAGGCAAAACAAGACAAACATCAAGAGATCATGGAATTATTTCTGTTTTTCCAGATCTTTCTTTTTTTTTTTTTGCAAGAAACTGCATGAGTGGTTGAGATGTTTGACATACTCCGAGCATCAGTCAATGACACCGCATGTGCAAAAATCTCAAATTTGCTATCAGCTTTGATAAATCTGGACCTTGTATTAATCTGAAGCTTTCAGCACTCTTCACAAACACCCGTCCTAGCTTGCTCTCTCAATTTTACACATCTTTGTTAAAGGAGTTAAAATACGGTGCTCAGCATAAATGAGTACACCTCCTTTTGAAAATGAAGATTTTAATAATACCTCAGTGAATATAACCAATAATTGTTGGTGCATTTAAACATTTAAACAAAATAGCTTTATTAAACAGTTGTACTCAATAGAATAAGAGTTTGCTCACCTAAGGTCTTTAGGAATAGAGAGATTTTTTAATAGAGCATTTGATTTTCAAATTGCAAAATTTCAATTAAGGGCGGCATGGTGGCTCAGTGGTTAGCACTGTCGCCTCACAGCAAGAAGGTCGCTGGTTTGAGTCCCTGGGTCAGTTGGCATTTCTGTGTAGTTTGCATGTTCTCCTCGTGTTGGTGTGAGTGTCCTCCAGGTGTCCAAACAGTCCAAACACATGCGCTTTAGGGGAATTGAATAAACTAAATTGGCCATAGTTGAGTGTGTGTGTAAATGTGATTGTGTGTATGGGTGTTTCACAGTACTGGGTTGCGGCTGGAAAGGCATCCGCTGCGTAAAAACATATGCTGGATAAGTTGGTGGTTCATTCCGCTGTGGCGACCCCAGATAAATCAGGGACTCAGCCAAAGGAAAATGAATAAATAAAAACATTTCAATTTAATTTCATATTTTCTTTGATACTCTTGATTTTCCTGTTTATTGAAATGTTATTTAATATTTTCCCTCAACATATTAATTTGGATGTACTCATTTTGCACTGTGCTCTAAAGTTATTTGGTTAAATTAGCTCTAGTTTTGGTTTTGGTAATGACTAATCTAATGTATATGCACAAATATATCATTGTAAAGTTTCCTATAGTAAATAGGAATTTAAAAAAGAAAGAGATGTGAAGGGTGTACCTATTTATGCTGAGCACTGTACATATATATATAGAGAGAGAAAGATAGAGATCCTTTAACAAAAATAATTTTTTTATTCTTAATTAATACTAAATTGAAATGACTAGCCCTCCTGCGAAGTTGTACATAATTTTCAAATGTTTCTTGTTTTGATGTTATTTTTTGATGTTTTAAAATAACTGAAATCCAACCCAGGCTCATTCTGATCACATACCCCGATATACATTTCTGGAGAGCGCCAAATATGTCCCAGGTTTTGATTTCACTAATCCACCAGAGGCTGATGTGTACGCTTTTTCAGATCTCAAATTTCTCTCGCGAGTGCCATTCATGCCTGCTGTTCTCGCATAAATCCAGCAGACGTCGCTGTCAACTGACTAATTGACTGACCAACCCTCATCCTTCCTTAAACCCAACCAATAGTTTTTTCAAAAGCACCGATTGACCAGCACCACTTCCCTAAACCCAACCGACAAGTGTTTTCAAAAGCAATGCAGAAAAAGAAAAGCCCTTGCCTGAATTTTACCACGTTTTTAGATTTTACCACATTCTCACCCTGTTATTTACTTGTTTTTTTGGCTTCAGTTTTTGTCTTACATGCTTTCTGGAACCGCTCTTCGCTGAACTCAAAACCCGTCATCGTGGTCAACTGCTCTCTGCATCTCAAGTCTGCCGGTGTACATGGCGAGCTACTGGACAAACTAGTAACAGCAGGAAAGCCGTCCATGTGGAGGTAAGTGGTCAGCTGGTTAGCGCGAAAAGAAACGGCGTTATACCGCCCCGTAGCGTTCGTTTTAGAAACAAAATGCAGCCTTGCATATTTCTGGCTACATAATTTGTGATCTCCAGAAATGTATATAGGGCTACATTTTCAGAATAAGCCTATGTTGCTGCAATCTTTCAGTGTACTGATATGAAACCGGACACAAAACATGCCGGAACTACTTTAGCTGTGCATTCATCTGAAAATGACTGCAAAATTTAGAATGTTCATCAGCCAATCAGAACCAAGCATTCAATAGACCAGTAGTATTTGCTAAAAAAAAATTAAACACTGTCCCTTTTTCAATCACGCAATTAATCTAACGTGACCTTCCTCATCACCAGGGGTCATTTGCATCACAAATTAACCATTTCAATGCACCTTCTTTCTCCAGATCATCAATCCTTTCATTTCAGCCCATCCTAGAGGATATCAAAACTGCATGTGGAAAAAAAAAGATGCCAGCAGGACGTCATTAGATTTTTACTCGCAGGCAATTTTGCCGTCGAAGCTGGAGAGAGCGATGGCGAAGGCTTGTACGGCACACAGAGGATACCTGTAGTCCAGAGTGAAGGCGTCGTCTGCAATTCTCCCAAACTGCATCACAATGTAGTCCTCTGAAAAACACAGTAAAAGAGATTTACTTTACGGTAAGGGTTTATTAGGTATTGTTAGTTAATCTATTCACTAACATGAACAAACCATACACTTATGACTGTATATATACACATCTTTGTCAACACTGGTTAATGAAAATACAGCCATTAGCCCCTTTCACACATCCAGCCCTTTCCGGAAAATCATCATCAATTTTCCGGAAAGGTCTGTGTGTGAACAGGCCATTTTTGAAAATACCGGTAAATTCGTTCAGAAATTTTCCAGAAAGAGAAGTTGTAAGATTACCGGTAATTTCCCAGAATGCTTCTGTGTGTGAACGCAGAAGGAAAATTGTCGGAAAAAGCGTGTTTAAGCTTAAAACATGCTGACGCAAGACATCTACTCCAGCCAATCAGAACAGTCAGATGAATTCACATCCGTGCTGTTTATGAAAATAAAAGCCTTTGAATATTTTTCCAGATAACTCAGATAATGTTTTTATGTTCCTTCTTAATGCCAACTGTGTAAATAATTACCTATAAAATGTTTATGATAAACCGCTGTTTGTTTATCTTCACTGTTTCAGTTGCTTGACGTGTGTACAAGTGAAGGAGCCGGTGAGCGCCAGCACACACACATACGTATATTATGAACATCTCGATATGTGAAAGTGTTCCTCCATTTGCTTTTATATAAGTTGTTCACAATACTTATCCATCCACATGATTTGTTATGTAGTCAATGTCTCAATGTCTGTTTAGATGTCTCACATAGCAGCTGCATAAATGATAAAGCTTTCAATAAAAGTGAAATCGCCAGACCACTTCTACACAAAACAAAAACGCCTGACCCCTTCCTGTTTACAAATACACACGCAGCCGTTTATAGGTCGTCTGGATGATGATGTCAGAATTTACCGTTATTTTGGAATGGATGTGAGAATGGTCTTTTCCGGAAAAATTCTGGAACGTCCGTGCCTGTGTGAACAGCGCTTTTTTTTATTTACTGGTAAAGTCGTTCCAAAAATTTTCCAGATATTTACTGGTTTTTACCAAGATGGTTCTTGTTAACCCACAATGTATTAACTAATGTTAACTTTAAATTTGAATAATACATTATTGAATGTTGAACTATGATTAATTAATAATAAACAAATATTGTTCATTCCTAGTTCAGGTTATTCATTTCTATTTACATTGACTAACATTATCTGGGACATTCGATTCTGACTGGTCAGTCGCAACATTACAAGGTATGTCATGCTGAGATAACAACCGCTAAATAACGCAGACTCATCCGGGAACTTTTTTAATCATTTTGACCCTCAGTGAGGCGACACGGTGGAACAGTGGGTAGCGCTCTAACCTCACAGCAAGACGGTTGCTGGTTTGAGCCTCGGCTGGGTCAGTTGGCATTTCAGTGTGGAGTTTGCATGTTCTCCCCGTGTTGGCTCCGGTTTTCGTCCGGTTGCTCCGGTTCCCCCCACAAGTCCAAAGACATGCTGTACAGGGGAATTGGGTAGGCTAAATTGTCCATGTATGTGTGTGAATGATAATGTATTGGTGTTTCCCAGTGATGAGTTGCAGCTGGAAGGGCATCCGCTGGTTAAAACATGTGCTGGATAAGTTGGCGGTTCATTTCACTGTGGTGACCCCTGATTAATAAAGGGACTAAGCCGGATAGAAAATGAATGAATGAATGACCCTCAGTGAATACGTTCATTCTTATATTTACATTCACATTCATTTATATCTGCTTGTGTGTCAAGATGTGGTTTTTTACTTTTTGGTGCCATCTTGTGAATAAATAATACAGAGTCTAGTTTATTGTCCATTCAACTCATTTAGTTTCTGTTAGCTTTGTGTTTTTAACTGTTTGGCACCATCTTGTGACTGAATAATGCGCAGGTTAGTGTATACTCCATCAGTTGTTTTTGTTTCTGTCAGCTTTGCATTTAATTAAAGAATTATTAATAAACTATTATGGCTCAGAACAATGTTTGTGGTTGTTTTTGCAGAATAAAGGCCTTCAGTCATATTCAACAGTGCTCTGTTTTGTGTTTTGGCTGCTGATAAACCTGTCGGGCTTTATTCTGTGACAACAGCCGCCTGAATGTATTTTATACCTAACTTACAGTTGCTTATAAAACATTAATGCAATTTACGTCTTAAAACTGAAACTTAAATGCATTTTCATTCACTCATAAAATAAAATAAATATTGCATAAAAAATAAGTTCAAGCTGACGTATTAAAAATACTCAAAATAAAGGAATAAAAAACTGGAATAAAGAAAGACTGAAATATAATTAAAATAAATATTGCATAAAAATAGGTTTAAGCTGGCGGATTTTAAAAATAGTCAAAATTAAGAAAAAATGTGAACTTAAATAAAAAAATGAATGAAATAATACAAATATTGCACGAAAAATAGATTTAAGTTGACGTATTAAAAATATAAAAAATGAAGATAATTGACTGGAATAAAAAAAGACTGAAATAAAATGTAATAAATATTGCACAAAAAGTAGGTTTAAGCTGACATTAAAGTGCTAAAAATGAAGGAAAAAATTTATGTGAATAAAAAAAATTGTACAAAAAAAACAATGAGTAATACTTAAAATTCCTAAAAATAAAACAAAAAATAAAACTGAAATAAAAAAATTACTGAAAAAAGTTTATAAAATATTGCACAAAAAGTAGGTTTAAGCTGAGGTATCAAAAAATACTCAAAATAAAGGGGAAAAAATTACTGGAATAAAACATTGCTGAAAAAAAATAAATATTGCACAAAAAATAGGTTTATTACTATTAAACTGGTGTATTAAAGTACTCACATTAAAGGGAAAAATTAAACTGTAGTAAAAAAATGACTGAAATAAAATAACTAATATTGCACAAAAAAGGCTTCAAGCTGATGCTATAAAAATATTTAAAATAAATAGAAAATTGATTAAAGCGGGATAAAAAAATTACTCAAAAAACAAACAAACACACACACAAAAAGCAAGGTTAGCTAATGCAAATGTTTTAGAGCAACATTAAGAGCTCTGCAGAGATGGAGTTGAGTTACTTACGGTCTTTGTTATGGACAATCTGAAAGTTTTTGATGGAGGCCTGTGTGACTCTGCCATTAAAGTTCAGCACATGTGAAGCGGTTTCTTCATTCCACACTGGCGTCTTATTGCGCAGCTCTATCAGATTTTCCATATTTCTGTTTTGATGTCTAACGAGGAGGCCATCGTTTTCCTGTTGGGAAGCAGTGCATTCAGTTTTCATTAAAAAGGAAAAATACAAACAACATCACACACATTTTTCACTATTGCTTTGCAGAATAAAATGTATAAATAAATAAAAATAATAATATTATAATAAAAATTAATAAATCTGTGGATTTATGCAGAATGATTTTGAGAGTGTAGAAGCTGAAAAACTAATACATAAGATTAAAAACTGAATTAGCAGGCCTCTCACATAATACATTCACTAAAAGACAGAAAATATTACTTTACAAATTGTATTGTAAATAAGTTACCTAATCATTTGCATATTATTCAATAATAATAGTTATAATAATAATAATAATAATAATAATAATAATACATTTAATCATCATCATCATCATCATCATCATCATCATACTGAAATTAATATAAAAACTGAATAAATAAATATTTAAGCATTCTCATAAATAAAGTAATAATTTTTTTATAAATATTAAAATATATAATAAATAATAAAATATAATAAAATTTAATTAAATAAATAAAATTTAATTAAATACAATTACAATAAAATAAAACAACAATAAATTAAATAAAAGATAATACATAATAAATAATCAAATAATTAATAAATAATAATTTATAATGAATAAATTAAATTAAAAATATATAATTAAAAACTAATAAATCATAAATAATAAGTAATTAAATTAAATTAAATTAAATTAAATTAAATATCTGCGATTTCCTTGGGAGCAGATTCCTTGTGGGTATACACATATTATTTAAAATATATTATTACATTTCTTTAATGTCATTTAAATATAAATAATAAAATTAAATTAAATAACTAACATTTAATTAAATACAATAAAAATAAAATAAAACAAAATTAAATAAAAAATAATAGATAATAAATAATAAATATTATTAATTAATAATTAATAATTAATAAATAAAATAATAATAATTCATAAATAATTAAATTAAATTAAATTAAATTAAATTAAATTAAATTAAATTAAATTAAATTAAATTAAATTAAATACAAAAATAATGGGCTCAAATATCTGCAATTTCCTTAGAAGCAGATTCCGTATGGGTGTATACATATTATATAAAATATATTACTAAAGTTTTACTTACACTACGTGGTCGTATGGGGACTCGATCGCCATCTTTGTTCATGCCAGGTATTACTATAATCATTCTCCTCGGCCCTTTCATGCCCAAAACATTTGTTTCCTAAAGCCACAATACAATACGAAATTAATATTATGACAAATAACACACACACACAGAGTAATGTATAAGTGCTCTAGTGTATATGATTGTCTTACGTAGATGATGGCTGCTAATTCCTGCCGTGCGTTAGACATGTCCGGCAGAGCTCTGTCCGGATGCAGTGCATTATCAAACACAGTGAATTTTGTTCCCATCAGATTTGACCTGAAATAAAAAAGCAAATATCATCGAATTGATGTGCAATAAACCTATAAGCAAGCAAAGAGCAGGTTAAAATAGGCTCAGTGGTTAGCACTGTCGCCTCACAGCCAGAAGTTCGCTGGTTCGAGTGCTGGCTGAGGTCAGTTGGCATTTCAGTGGGTTTCCTCCGGGTGCTCCTGTTTCCCCCACAGTCCAAACACAAGCGCTATAGGTGAATTGAATAATCTAAATTGGCCGTAGTGTATATGTGTGAATGGGTGTGCATGGATGTTTCCCACCCTGCTGAAAAATCCAGCTTAAACCAGCCTAGGCTGGTTGACTGGTTTTAGCTGGTCGACCAGGCTGGTTTTAGAGGGGTTTTGGCCATTTCCAGGCTGGTTTCCATGACCAGCTAAATCCAGCTAAAACCAGCTTGACCAGCCTGGTGTAAGCTGGACATAGCTGGTTTTGGCTGGGCTCCCAGCCTGGCTAGGCTAGTCAAGCTGGTTTTAGCTGGTCTTCTCCCAGCCTGACCAGCTAAAACCAGGCTGGAAATGGCTGGAAACCAGCCTGGAAATGGCCAAAACCCCTCTAAAACCAGCCTGGTCGACCAGCTAAAATCAGCCAACCAGCCTAGGCTGGTTTAAGATGGTTTTTTCAGTTAGGCAGTAATGGGTTGCAGCTGGAAGGGCATCTGCTGTGTAAAACATATGCTGGCTGAAAAAGCTCTAGCTGTCCATTTAGACCATTGTGCTAATGGCAACGTTGAGCACTCACTGACCTGAGCTTCCCAACAAAGTTTTCTCCTCCTCTGGAAAGGTCAGTGGGGTCGATGGAGATCAGGTAGTTTGAGGTTGTGCTTTTTTTCCTCTTCCTTCCCGCTAACAGAAACACCTGGATGTAGGATGGACATCAGAACAACAGGGTACATTAGCATTAGCATTATTTGAGACTAAAAAGCACAATTTAACCAAATGTTAGCTCGTGTTCGGTCAGTTTGAAATGTTCTATTGTTGCTTAAAAGCAGTTCATTTTTTAAAAGCCATTTTAAGGTCAAAATTATTAGCGCCTTTTTTTCGACTGTCTACAGAGCAAACCATTGTTATACAATAACTTGCCAAATTACCCTAACCTGACCTAATTAACCTTGCCTAATTAGTTAACCTAATTAATCTAGTTAAGCCTTTAAATGTCACTTTAAGCTGTAAAGAAGTGTGTTAAAATATCTAGTCTAATATTATTTACTGTCATCATGGCAAAGATAAAATAAATCAGTTATTAGAAATGAGTCAATAAAACTATTATGATTGGAAATGTGTTGAAAAAAAATCTCTGTTAAACAGAAATTGGAGAAAAAAAATAAGCAGGGGGGGCAATAATTCTGACTTCAACAGAACAGGTAGTTTGAGGTTGTGCTTTTTTTCCTCTTCCTTCCCGCTAACAGAAACACCTGGATGTAGGATGGACATCAGAACAACAGGTTACATTAGCATTAGCATTATTTGAGACTAAAAAGCACAATTTAACCAAATGTTAGCTCGTGTTCGGTCAGTTTGAAATGTTCTATTGTTGCTTAAAAGCAGTTCATTTTTTAAAAGCCATTTTAAGGTCAAAATTATTAGCCCCTTTTTTTCGACTGTCTACAGAGCAAACCATTGTTATACAATAACTTGCCTAATTACCCTAACCTGACCTAATTAACCTTGCCTAATTAGTTAACCTAATTAATCTAGTTAAGCCTTTAAATGTCTCTTTAAGCTGTATAGAAGTGTGTTAAAATATATAGTCAAATATTATTTACTGTCATCATGGCAAAGATAAAATAAATCAGTTATTAGAAATGAGTCAATAAAACTATTATGATTGGAAATGTGTTGAAAAAATCTGTTAAACAGAAATTGGGGGAAAAAAATAAGCAGGGGGGCAATAATTCTGACTTTAACCATTAACATATATAACAAAAGCTTTTAGATTCAGTACAAGCTAAGTGCTACAGTATCAACACTTTCTGTGACAGCTCAACCCCATAATAGTTTGTTTAAAGGACATAAAAATAACCAAAGACTTAAAATGGAGGTCTATGAGAAATAAAGTTTTAATAACATTAATCTTCATTCTTTTACCTTCGGCTTAATCCCTTATTTACTAGGGGAATGAACCAATAACTATTCCAGTATATGTTTTACGCAGCGGAAGCCCTTCAACCCGCAACTCAATACTGGGAAACACCCATATACTCTCATTCACACACACACACACTTAGTTCATCCAATTCACCTATAGCGCATGTGTTTGGACTGTAGGGGAAACCGGAGCACCCGGAAGAAACTTACATCAACATGGGGAGAACATGCAAACACAGAAATGCCAACTGGCGCAGCCAGGACCTTCATGCTGTGAGGTGACAGTGCTGACCACTGAGCTACCATGCTGCCCATATAACAGCAACATGCAGTTCGCAATTTTGGTAAAGTAATATTCAGTCATTCATTCATTTTCTTGTCGGCTTAGTCCCTTTATTAATCTGGGGTCGCCACAGCGAAATGAACCGCCAACTTATCAAGCATATGTTTTACGCAACGGATGCTCTTCCAGCTGCAACCCATCACTGGGAAAGGTAAAGTAATAATATATAATAATCATTCTTCATCACAAAAATATAAATCATCTAAATCAGTGGTTCTCAACCTGTGGTACGTGTACCACTAGTGGTACGCAGGCTTCCTTCTAGTGGTACGCGGAGGAATGAAATATGTCATGTACATGCTACACACATTTCAAAATTTATCAAAAATGATGTATATAATATGCGATATATGACATATAGCCTATATTTCTGAGGTAATCTGCCACGTTTTTTTTAACTGTGCAGAGTTGTAGCTGCTTTACTGGGCCTACTACGCTAATGTATTTCAATACTGCTCATTTTGGTGGTACTTGGAGAGACAATTTTTTTCTGAGGTGGTACTTGATGAAAAAAGTTTGAGAACCACTGATGTAAATCATCCGAATATTAAAATGTGCTTTTCAGTGCAACACTTCTAAATCATTTTTTAGTAATTTGCATCCAACTCAAATGTAAAAGTTATACACTACTGTTCAAAAGCATGAGGCCAGTAAGGTCAGTAAATCAAAATATTCAGTGAAGACATAATAATGTTAACATATACAAATATACAAAACCCGAAAATTACTATGTAAAACAGCACTTACTACAGTGTGAAGCTTTTCTTATAATAATATTTCTAGAGCAAATCAACATAATGAAAGTATTTTTTGTAAGACCACGTCACACTGCTGGAACAGACTACATCTTAAAACATTAAAATAGAAGATGAAATTGCACAGTTTTCTTCTGATTTCAATGTATTGCTGATGAAACCGATACAGCCTAAAAGACTTCTGAAAAATGTGCATGTATAAAAAAAACTGAAGATTTCGTCGTACTTTCTTCTCGTTGTCCAGATGCAGGTAGTATGTTGGGTAAAGGCCTTTGTCCATCCCTCTCTTGTCACGGGTCACTTTGCACTTCACTGTGACTCCTTGTTCTGCAGGTTGAAGCACAAACTCCTCCAGATTGTTAAACTCGATGACTGGAGAAGGTGCTCGCTCCTCCTTCAGAGGAATAAGACAAAAAATACATTTACTGTTGAGTAGGGATGGCTGACGTGAAACTGATGTTTCGACACAGTGTCGAGATCCCGAAGCGCAAGTGTTTCGAAACACTGCACCGAAGCATGATCTGAAGTACCCAAGTCACGTGACTAAAGTGTTTCGAAACACCTGGTCATGTGACTAAAGCGATTCAAAGCATCGATCAGCTTAAAAACGTTTCGAGACCTGACGAATCCTCATTTGATTGACAAGGTCATCAAATAATCTCTGACTTATATGGCTTAGAGGACTGTGTGTTTGCTAATTGATTTTATGCTTTGCATGATGTTTTGGGTTCGAATCCCGACTTGTACAAATACTCTGAAATCATGGTTTTATGTATTTTAATCATGTTTCTGTTTTGTGCAGCCTAAATAGGATACAGCTGCAGTTACGCCATCAATTTAGCATCATTTTTGTAACACTGTAAAACAATAATAAATATTTTTACAGTATGGTTGGGTTTAGGGTTTGGGTAGACATTAATAAAATACAATAAATGGGAAATTTAATGAATAATATAAATAATTCTTGATAACTTCAGGCCCCCGTTTTTGATCTAGCAACAACCATGTTTTAAGACAAAAACGACATATTTATTCACAAATTGTTCATTCGGATATCAGACCAATGTTGAAACAAAACGATACAAGAGCAAAGCATTACCAATTGGTATTAAAGCATTTCAAAACAACTGCGACAGCCTGGCTTCGAAATCTACTAACCCCGCATGGAACTCTGACTCCTTAACCACTGTACTATGTTACTTGAAGGATCAAACATTCAAAGTTGGGTTTAATGCCTTAATTTGTTCAACTGTTCTTTGCTGAAGGTGTTTCAGTGCAATACATAAAAAATTACCACTAGATTCCACTGTAGAGTGGGGTTTCGAAACGTTTCGAAGCTTCGACACATTTGCTTCGACTGTTTCAGTGTTTCACGAAGCCTCGCTTTGCCCACCACTACTGTTGAGAAGTTTTGTGTTCCTACACTGCAAACTCATAGTGTCACACCCCTATTCAGATTATGGTACACTCCAATCTCCTCTCATTCAATCTCTGGCCAATCAGGACTGCCTCAAGGGCTTTATTAACAGCACCTGTGCCCACAGTTTACTATTTTCTGGCAGCACATGGCTGAACTTGAATTTGATTTCCTTTGTTTTCCTGTGTGTGCGCGTATTTGACCATGTAAATGGCTTTTGTATGATTTAAGTTGACTTAAGTGCTCATGTTTGCCATAGTTCTGTTTAGTTATGTACTTTGTTTGTTGGTAAACTGAAGCATTTGTATTTCTGTTATTTCCTTACTGATTACTGACACCTAAGCTGCGTCCCAAATGGCACACTACACTATGCACTAATGCAATAAGTACTTAAGCACTTACACACTTAACAGGATAGTACATGTATGTAGTGGTGTCCCAAATGATAGTTTTTTTTACTAAGCGGAAATTCAAACCGTTTCCCTAATGACGTTTGACGGTTGCCAAATCGGTGAAATAAACGACCGAATTATCAAATAATACCTGCTGGAGTATTGCCGCATTCACGATAGGGAGGCGCTATAATCACTCGTATGAGAATTTTTCTTTCACCATCCAAAATAAATCAAGTTATTCAACATGTTCGTCCGATAGCTCCGCCCCTTCCGCTACGTAAGCAAACGTGCGGTCGTTGAGTGCATGAAGTGTCCATCATTACACACTTCATTTTAGCGGCTGAATGAGTGCATCATCCGGGTAATTAAAGTGCACTTATTAGTTTTCAGTGTGAACACACTACTTACACTATTTATACTACAAAATGGGGTAGAATAGTGCATAAGTATGCGATTTGGGACGCAGCTTTTGTATTTCTGATATTTCCTTGCAGAAAACCACACACGCATACACACACACACACACACACACACACACGCATACATACCTTTCCTACTGAGTACAAATCCTTGTCAATGCTAATAAACACAACTAGATGGAGTGACTAGACTGGACCTCTGTTCTTACCGACAGCACCAATGGCTTCAAGCTAGCTACCTAAACGATTTCCCTCCTAACTCCTTTACCCTGGTGACCTTGTATCACCCAAAATAAATATTTACTTTGCAGTTACTAGTGTAAATCATAAAGAATTTATGCCGCAGTCTTCATACTGTGGTAACATGATGAATTCACCTTTTTGCCTTTTTTCCCTTTGCCCTTTTTCTTTTTCTGCGTCACTTCTGAATCAGAGTCTTCAGTCTCTTCCGCTTTTGCAGAACCTAAGGGGGCAAACCAAAAATGTAAAAAAAAAACTATTCGTATGTATTTGATTCCTAAAATGATAGTGCAGAGTTTTTGTATGTGTTAGGGTTTGTGACCAGTGAGATTTGTGAGCATTGTTTGCTTTGTTCTTTTGAGTCACTTTTGTTCTACTGGCTTGTTTGACCTCTTGGCCTGATGACATTTTTGGATTTTTGGATTGTCCCTCAAATGTGGTTGCTTGTTCTCTAAATAGTTTGTAAATAGTGTATATAATATTGGGATTTAAGGAGTCTAACGCCATTTTATTTGTAAAACCTTTTGATCTCTGTTTTTGTGTTAGGTAGTTAGGATAGTTAATTGTATTTTCTTTCATCTTAATCGGGTAGAAGTTTAAAATAAAGGAATTTTTGTTTGTTATTTTGTCCTTGTCAGGTCCCGAATTCAACCCCCTCAGATTTGGTTTCATATTTTCTTTGTCTTGTTTTTCCTGTTGTGCACCTTCCCTAAACGGTGCGTGATAACAGTAGGTTCCTTTAATCTTTTATTTTTATTTTTTTTTATGCTATTACAGAATAAAACTACTTAAACTGAAAGAAATGTATGCAACATGTTAAAAAAAATAGTTTAAAATCTGCTAATGCTACATCATTGTTTGGATCATGATTAAAAATCTGTGTTTGCCACTAATAAAAATGCCCTTTTTTTAAATATATGAAGAGATTTATTTTGTGTTCATTAATTTGTGGTTTATTTAAAAATTACATATAAATAATTGCATTTATTATACATATATAAATTTTACAAAGAAATTTACAGGAATAATCTAATTTAAAAATGTCATAATAGTGCAATACTTTAAATCTTAGTCATTCATTTTTCTTCGGCTTTAGTCCCTTTATTCATCAGGAGTTGCCACAGCGGAATGAACCACCAATTTATCCAGCATATGTATTACACAGCGGATGCCCTTTCAGCTGCAACCCAGTACTGGGAAACATCCCTACACACTCACATTCACACACATATGGCCAATTTAGTTACATCATTCTATAGCGCATGTCTTTTGACTGTGGGGGAAACCGAAGCACCCTGAGGAAACCCACACCAAAACGGGGAGAACAAGCAAACTCCACACAGAAATGCCAACTGGCTCAGTTGTTACTCAAACCAGCGACTTTCTTGCTGTGAGGTGACAGTGCTGACCACTGAGCCACCATGCAGGCCCTGCTTTAAATCTCTTATTTAAAAAAAAAAATCATGAGAAATTCAAATCCCCAATTACATTATGAGTTTATAGGTCATGGACCTTTTTCACATTTCCTTTTCACATTTCATCATAGTTGGTAAACTTAGAGGGCAGTGAATAAGAAAGTATAACAAATAATGTTTTTGTATTTATATTTGCTTAAATAATAAAAGAAAAACTTAAGGATAGTGTTATCAAGACTTTCAAAAAAAGGAAAAACAATTGTGTGATACTATAATGTATAATTCTATAAATTAATTGTTTCTTTGGTGCACCGTGATGCAGATGTGGACAATTCAGCATCGGTTCAGTAATAATTATAACCGAATATTATGTAGTGACGTCATTTATCTCATGTGCGCTATTTCGTCGTAGCTTACTGGGCGAGGGAGGCGAGCACGAGTATTTACATCGCTCCAACTACTTAAGAACTAAGAAACTGTGGATAATTTGACTGCTTGTGTGTTTGCTAGATCAGTCTTTCAATGACATTTACAGCAGAAGCCCCTACTTCACTGCGATTGAGAGAATGAAAGTACTCCATTTTCTCTCTCTCTCCCTCAGTGGGCCTGTTTGACCTGCTGGCGTGACTTTTCCTCCCCTCTCAGCTGTTTTACAGCGATACCTCTGGATACAGACACGAGCGAGTGCCTGCAGAGTTTTCTCCACTGTGTCTATCATGGATCAGCTGTGATAGTCGCTGCCGCTTGACGCTTATCAGTGTCACTCATCTGTGAAGATCGCTGCGCGCAAGTGCCAATCGCAACCATTTTTGTTGAGGGTGTGACCAATCAAAGCGGTGTAAGAGAACTAGACAAGGATCAGAAAGCGAGCGGGATATTTGTTTATATCAGTTGCTATAAATGCTCGTGTTGTTCAAAGTTACAGTTTATATATCTGACTGTTTGTATTAAATGACAAAATTGTATTACAAATAGTATATAAATATATTCATACATTTTAGTACAAGAATTATGCTGTGAAGAAAATATAAAACTGTGTATGGAAAGCACCGTCAATGCACCGAGATATCGAATTGAACCGAGTCAATGGCATGATAATCGTAACCGAACCGTGACACCAGTATAGGTTCACAGCTCTAGTGATAATGGCAGCCAGAAGAGACATTGATGTCAAAATGACTGTCCTGCCCCCACAGACGCTGCATTAAGCTGCAGTCACACTGCACTTTTCGCCCCATAGACTTCCATTTATATGATTGCCAATGCGACAGACCGGAAAAGTGACAAGTTTTTAAGTGGCTGCATTGTAAGGTTCAAGCTTAGTGAACTCTGACCTGAATTACATGACTTTGTGAGACCAATCGAAGACTAAAAAATGACCTCTCTGTACAGAAATTTTAAATCTGGACCGATTGCTTACTTATTTTAATGCCTCGTGCCAAGGTCACACTGCGCTTTTCTCCCCATAGACTTCAATTCACACGAACATGAATTCGACAGACTGAAAACACAAGCTTGTGCGAAAAGTTTCGCAGTTTGCTGTATTGCAAAGTTCAAGCTTGGTGAACTCTGACCTGCAAAATTTCCTCACATGACTGCGTAAGACCAATAGAAGATCAAAACATGACCTCAGTATACAGAAATGTAAAATATGAACTAATCACTCGCGCTTTTTTTGTCCAATCATCTTGTTAAACCCGCCCCCTTTCGCAGCAGCATACGACAGAATTTCAAATGCTTAAACTCTAGTGTGACTGCGGCATCACAAACACCTCACATATTTCGTTTTTTGTAATTTGATGAATAGATGATATAATAGGAAGTATAACTTTATAAATGTACATGCATAAAAAAAATCTAAATCTTAAAAACTTTCAAGGATTAAAGATTTTGGTGTCCATTAAATTCATTATCGTTATGTTATGAAAAGAGTCCATTACGGGTTAATAAAGGACCAGGCCTTACTTTTGGTCTTTTTTGTCTTTTTGTCCTTGTCTTTGTCTCCTCCGGTCTGAAACATGGAGGCTGTGTTTGAGCTGCTCTTCTTCTTGGTCTTGCTAGTTTTGGTTTCGGGTTCGCTCTCTTCTTCACTCTCGGATTTGGCCGCTGCGTCAAGCCACATTATCAAACGCAAATAATATTCTGAATCATAAAACAGACACGCATAGAGAAAAGTTCTCAAACATTACCTTTCTTTTTACTCTTGGTTTCAGGCTTTTCTCCATTTATCTGAAACATGGAGGCGGGTTCCTTCTTCTTGGTTTTAGATTTTCCTTTACTGTCTGCATCCTCTTTGGCATCTTCATAATCAAATACAGTCAACAAACAATAAATCAATTTGATAGGTCAACTGTTGAACCAAAACTATCAATTCTGTCATTGTTTATTCACCCTTTACTTGTTTCAACCTTCATGAGATTCTGTCTACTGTTAAACACAAAAGAAGATATTTTGAAGAATGCTGGACACCTGTCCATTGACTTCCATAGTAGTTGTTTTTTCTATGGAAGTCAATGGTCAATGGTTTTTCTATGGAAGTCAAAAAAAAATTAAAATTTAATACTACTAATACTTCCCTTCTTAGACTTTACAGACCTGAAACTTGCCTTTAGTACTTATTCATTGTTGCTCTTAGTTGTGTAAATTGCTTCCTTGTCCTCATTTGTAAGTCGCTTTGGATAAAAGCGTCTGCTAAATGACTAAATGTAAATGGTTACAGGTTTTCAACTTTCTTTAAAATATCCTCTTTTGTGTTCAACAGAAGAAAAAAAATCACAAAGTAATGGAATCACATTAGTAGGTAATGAGTAAATTTAGATTTTTGAGGGAACTGTCCCTTTAAGACCAGGGACCAGATTTATTAAAGCACCAGATGCAACTATGGTAATGTGTATGCAAATTTACTAACACTATAATAAAAAAAAAAATAGGGCACTGAGCGCACCTTTTGATTTGGACTTCTTGTCTTTTTCTTTCTCTTTTTCCTTTGTATCGGAGCTTTCTTTTGCAGGCTTTTTCTTCGTCTTCTTTTGAGGAGTTGTCTCTCCATCATCTTCATCATCATCATCGTCATCTGTAGAACCTGTTTTTAATAGAGACATTTAATGTCAACAAGCGATTATTTTGATTTACATATAAATAAATATTTATATATAAATGCACACATGCATGCATGCATATATTTGAGAAAATGTTTATTTATATTTAGATATAAAATATATGTGTATACGGTGCATCCAGAAAGTATTCATAGCGCTTCACTTTTTCCACTTTTTGTTTATGTTACAGCCTTATTCCAAAATGGATGAAATTCATTTATTTCCTCAACATTCTACATGCAATACCCCATAATAACAATGTGGAAAAAGATTTCTTTAAATTGTTGCAAATTTATTAAAAAATAAAAAATCTGAAAAATCACCTGTACGTCAGTATTTACAGCCTTTGACGTGAAGCTCTAGATTTAGCTCAGGTACATTCTGTTTCCATTAATCGTTCTTGAGATGTTTCAACAGCTTCATTAGAGTTCACTTGTGGTCAGTTCACTTGATTGGACATGATTTGAAAAGGCACCTGTCTATATAAGGTCCCAGGGTTGACAGTGCATGTCAAAGCACAAACCAAGCATGAAGACAAAGGAATTGTCTGTAGACCTCTGCGACAGGATTGTCTCGAGGCACAAGGTTGGGGAAGGGTATAGAAAAATTTTCTGCTGCTCTGAAAGTTCCAATGAGCACAGCGGCCTCCATCATCCGTCAGTGGAAGATGTTCAACCACCAGGACGATTTCCAGAGTTGGTCGGCCATCTAAGCTGAGTGTTCTGGGGAGAAATAGCTTAGTCAGGGAGGTGATCAATAACCTGATGGTCACTCTGTCTGAACTAAAGCATTCCTCTCTGGAGAGAGGAGAACCTTACAGAAGCACAATCATCTGTGCAGCAATCCACCAATCAGCCCTGTATGGTAGAGTGTTCAGATGGAAGCCACTCCCCACCTGTAATTTGCCTAAAGGCATCTGAAGGACTCTCAAGCCATAGGAAACCAAATTCTCTGCTCTGATGAGACTAAAATTGAACTCTTTGGAGTGAATGCCAGGCGTTTACACATTTGGAGAAAACCAGGCAATGCTCATCACCAGGCTACTAACATCCCTACAGTGAAGCATGGTGGTGGCAGCATCATGCTGTGGGGATGTTTTTCAGCAGCAGTAACTGGAAGACTAGTCAGGATAGAGGGAAAGATGAATGCAGCAATGTACAGAGGCATCCTGAACGAAAACCTGCTTCAGAGTGCTCTTGACCTCAGACTGGGGTGACGGTTCATCTTCCAGCAGGACAATGACCCAAAGCACACCGCCAAAATAACAATGGAGTGGCTTCACAACAACTCGGTGAATTGGCAAAAAATCCCAAAGACAGGTGTGCCAAGCTTGTGGCATCATATTCAAAAAGACTTGAGGCTGTAATTGCTGCCAAAGGTGCATCAACAAAGTATTGAGCAAAGGCTGTGAATACTGATGTACAGGTGATTTTCCAGGTTTTTTATTTTTAATAAATTTGCAACAATTTCAAGAACTCTTTTTTTCACATTGTCAGTATGTGCTATTGTGTGTAGAATTTTGAGGAAGTAAATCAATTTAATCCATTTTGGAAAAATGTTGTAACATAAAAAATGTGGAAAAAGGGAAGCGCCATGAATACTTTACGGATGCACTGTATGATACAAATTATAAATAAAATTTAATTATCTCTGTAACCGAACAGTTTCTTTTTAATGCGCATATCACATATAATTCAAAGTATTAATCAATACTATAAATGAAGTGAATATTTGTCACTGAACATGCAACAGAACATTTGTGTTTTCATCAGTCAGTCACTTACTCTTTTTCTTCTTCGGGGCACTTTTGGCTTTCTTCTTGGTTTCCTTCTCCTTCTCTGTTGATTCCTTGTCCTTGTCTAGTTTCTTCTTCTTCGTCTTCTCTCCGTCTGCAGGTTATTAAGAGTGTGTGAGTGAGTGAGCATGTCAACACTGCTGTAATAAGACTGAAAATAAGATGAGCTCTGCATTACTCTGAGTGGCAGGACTGCTCTCTGTCGACTGGTCGCCGCTCTTCTTCATCTTTGTCTTCTTGGGTTTGGCATCACTTCCATTGGTCTCCGCTGGAATCGACTCAGGCTTCTTCTTTTTGGGCTTCTGCAGTAATCTAATGTGTGGAGTCAGAAAGTTTCATTATTGTAATAAACGTTAAACAAAAGCTATGACAAAAATAAGCAGATTTAAAAAGTTAGATAACTCACCAGTGTGGATAAAAGGGAAAGCAATGATTAGAAAAGAACATCACTGTCAGTGTTATTAAGCAATTCAAAAGCTTATTTTGCATATATTTTGCTTCAAACATCCATACCATATTCATCTGATATTAAGTATGTTATGCAGTACTGCTGAAATGTAATTTATGTAATTATTTTAATTGCTGTCAGTTATGCAAACAGCATTAAAAAACATTAGGTAACATATATATATATATATATCACACGAGTAGCAGTGTGATATGGCTGTATATCGGCACTGGTGGGAGGCGTGCGTTAGTGCCCTAACCAGTGCCGATACACAGCCATATCGCACTGCTACGAGTGTGATATTGCGTTCATACAACAGTTTGACGGCATAATTGTGTATATAAAAGCAAAATCAAACATGGAGAGTTTCAAAAACCCTTTTGTATGAGGAACTACTTTCTTCCACGCTGGATTCAAATCATAAGCTGACAGTTAAACAGTTGAGCAAGCATCTTTTAAACTTTAGATCTGTAGTGTCTGCTTTTTGCTGGTTGTATATGGGCGGAGTAATACACAAAGGGTAAAGAGCCTGTACGAGTGCTGATATTACTTAAATATATCACAGCTATCAGCCAATCAGAGTCAAGAACTGTTGTATATATATATATATAAAATATACATATATATATAAATATTTATACAACAGTTCTGTTTGGTTCTAGAATCTGATTGGTTGATAGCGGAGCGATATTCTGCCAGTACCAGCACTCGTATGCCTCTTCCCCCTTCACCTTTGCGAATTACTCTGCCCAACAACATAATGTACTTTAGGCTTTTTTAGTTGAGAATGTAGTTGTTTAGATTGCAACTACGCAGCTTGTCTATAAGAATAGTGCCTGTTTTTAAATATTTATAACATCTGAGAACCAGCACGCCGGCGGCCGTTAGCCTGACATGCTGAGCAAGGACGGTTGACTTTAGCCCCTTTCACACATACGGACCTTTCCGGAAAATTGCCGGCAATTTTCCGGAAAGGTTGTATGTGTGAACAGGTCCTTTTTGAAAATACCGGTAAATTCGTTCTGGCTATTTTCCGGAAAGAGAAGTTGTAACATTACCGGCAATTTGCCGGAATGCTGCGCTGTGTGAATGCAGATGGAAGATAGCCGTAATAAGCGAGTGCAAGTCTAGAACGTGCTGACGTGAGACGTCTGCTTTAGCCAATCACAACAGTCAGACGCATTTACGTCCGCGCGGTTTGTGAGAATAAAACCCTTTGAATATTTTTCCAGACACATTTAGTTGCTAGAAGTTAGTCAGATCACGTTTATATGTTCTTCTTAATGCCAACTGTGTAAATGATCATCGATGAGATGCTTATGATAAGCCGTTGTTTGTTTACCTTCAAGCTTTGCGTGTGCCTGTGAAACAGCCTGTGAGCGCCTGCACACGCACATATTATGAACATCTCGATATGTGAAAGTGATCCTGCGAAAGTTGTTCACAATATTGATCATCCACAGAGTTTGTGATGTAGTCAAATGTTTACAAACACAAGCGCAGCCGTTTAAAGCTCATTTGTGGTTAATGATGTCAGAATTTACCGGTATTTTGGAATGGATGTGTGAATGCTCTTTTCCGGAAAATTTCCGTAACGTCCTCGCCTGTGTGAACAGCGCTTTTTTGAATATACCGGTAAAGTCGTTCCGGAAATTTTCCAGATATTTACCGGTATCACTGTGTGAAAGGGGCTAATGTCCATACACAAGATTGTGACAAAGACCGCATGATAAGCCCTAAGTTAAAAACAGCGTCATTTCAAACTACAGCTGATCAAATCATTATTAAACAGGTAAACGACTTTCTAAGTCAATCTCTCTCTCTTTTGTATGTTGTGGTGCTGTATTTATACCATAGCAATATTGTGATCTCCTAATTGAAGAAATACTGGGAAATCTCTGTAGCATTTTCTGCCGTTCAGCCTAAAATGTCAGCAAAATCACCTGTTTTGTCATCACTTTCGATATTACGCTAGAGAATCATTCATAGACTAGCTCTTAAGTGACTTTGGTGAAATAGCAATGGCTTCTGCAAGAAAGTAGTTCCTTATACAAAATTCTCCGTGTTTGATTTTCTTTTTTGCACACTAGATTATGCCGTCGAACTGTTGTATAAACACAATATCACACTCATAGCACCGCGATGTGACTGTATATCATCACTGGTGGGACAACGCACAACGTTGTTGCCGATATACAGCCACATCAGCCACTCATGTGATATTGCTTATATATATAGATGGTTGGGCATTGTAACTGAAACGCCTGGTTTTAGAACACAATAATTTATTAGTATGGTGTAGGTAGGGCCTTCTTTTGCAGTTTATACAACATCAATTGATCTTGGGAATGACAGATACAAGTCCTGCACTGTGGCTAGAGGGATTTTGAGTCATTCTTCCTGCAGAATAGCGGCCAGGCCACTACTTGATTCTGATAGAGGAAAACGTTTCCTGATTCAATCCTTCAAAACATCCCAAAGTAGCTCAATAGTATTTGGATCTGGTGACTGTGCAGGCCAAGGGAGATGTTCAACTTCACTTTCATGTTTATCAAACCACTCTGCCACCAGTTTTGCTGTGTATATTAGTGCATTATTTTGTATATCACCCCTAATGTTGTGTGCATCGCAATATTTTTAGCAAAACGGTGCTATTTCTGCTAGTTAATCTTTCACACTCTTACTTGTGGAAGTGCAATCAATGAAGATTCTCCACCTGGCTCCTCAAATTTAGTCATGTGACCATAAGAGAATGAATAAGAGAGTGTTCATATACACTCTCTATATGTATGTACGTGTAATATGGATAATTTATAATCAAACAAATATGTAATCTACTATATATGCAGCAGTGTTTCCCCTAGGAGTTTTTTTAGCTGTGGCGGCAGGCCTCTTACACGGAACTTCCAACTACCTACGGCGTTGTTTTAATGACAAATGTCCTAAGTGCAGTATTGCAAGTCGAGATTGCAAATCCTCAAATATCCTCAAATATCCTCAAATGCGCCTCTGAAGTGCAGATTTTCTTGTGCGCTCTCAAATAAATCGTACAGCCCTGTCAGTCAGTCAGTCAGTCAGCCAGCATGTAGCCGTAAAGGTTTAAACAAATAAAGCACAGCACTACTACGATTATGGAAAAGTTTGCGCTGTTATAATTCACTTACATTTTAATACATTTTGGTGTGATTGTAGCCCACTATTTAAAAAAACAGTAGTAACTGAATGTTTTGAATGAGAAGCCGTAATGTAGCCGTGGCGGGAATGAATTTTGGTGTGGCACTCCTCCATGGAAGAAGGAATGTAGCGGAAACCATGATAAAGCATTCATTTTGAATGTATTTATAAATTATGTGTAAAACCTTTTTTTTTTTATCTGTATTAATTACATTTTGATCCATTTATCTTTATTACTATATATAAATAAATTGGTTACTTTACAAAAAGGTTCATTAGTTAATGTTAATTAATGCATTTACTAACATGAACAAACAATGAACAATACATCTACTACTGTATTTGTTCACGTTAGTTAACGTTAGTTAATGAAAATGGTGCATTAACTAATGTTAACAAGCATGGACTTGGATGTTAATAATGCATTAGTAAATGTTCAATTATGATTAATAAATGCTGTACATGTGTTGTTCATGATTAGTTCATGTTAGTAAATGCTAATGAACCTTATTGTAAAGTGTTACCAATAAATTTCTATAAAACAACCTATACACAATGATCTTTATATTTGTTATATATTGTCTCTCTATATATACTATATATATATATATATATATATATATATATATAGAGAGAGAGAGAGAGAGAGAGAGAGAGAGAGAGAGAGAGAGACATACACACACACAAATTAAAATTTGTATAAAGTGTTTGCACTAGTAAGTACAATATTAGTTTATGTATTCACTAACATGAACTAAGTATAACCAATACTTGTACAGCATTTATTAATCATAGTTTAATGCTTATTTATGCTTGTTAATGCACCGTGAGTTACCATGAACTAACATTGAATGACTGTATTTTCATTAACTAACACAAACAAACAGTGCAATAAATTATATTATTGTTACTTGTTTGTTCATGGTAGTAAATGCTTATTTAGTAAAATGTTAGTAAAAGCTTTACCGTATTGTAAAGTGTTAACAATATATTTAGAACAAGTATCATTTTCCAATATGTTTTTGAAGCATTAGAAACCTCCAAACCTAGATCTGCTGAACCAGTATCAATCATCTGCTGCATAATCACATTACACAACCTGTTCTGTTTCCTCAGATCGCTTCATTATTTATCTTTCAAGACAGTTTCCCACAAATATTAGTTAATTAACATCATCCACACACGTTGTAATGGTTCAGTTATAATAATGAATGCTCATTTGTTATCTTTTATATAGTGACATATAAAAACAACCCACTAGTTTTGACATTTCACTGTGCATCATAATTAAAAATGCATCCAAATCATCTATTTATTAGCATCTAATGATTAGCACTTGTTTCTGTAAGTGTCAGGCCATAGACAGTATCTTTAACCTAAGAGAAAAACAATGGAAGTCTATGTAATGTCCCCACTAAAATAGAAAAACAAACCTGTGAGAGAGAGAGAGAGAGAGTGTGTGTGTGTGTGTGTGTGTGTGTGTGTGTGTGTGTGTGTGTGTGTGTGTGTGTGTGTGAGATCCACTTAAGACGCAGCCAGAATAAGGCTATTAATACCGTCGCCTCAGTCAATCCCTGTCATGAGGTGTGGAGGAAAACACACACGTCGAAATAAACCGTGTGTGTTTGTAGGTCATCTTAATATCTACAAAATAAAGAGTTCTGGAAATTATATGGTATAAGGTTGTATTAGTTAATTTATTTACTAACGTGAACCAACAATACATTAATTACAGTGTTTATTAATCTTTGTTCATGTTAGTGAATGGAAATAAAATTCATTGTCAGTTAATGTTAACTCACAGTGCAATAACTAATGTTAACAAGCATGAATTAGTATTTTTATAACACATTAGTAAATGTTTAACAACCATTATTGAATTGTTCATTATTGGATCATATTAGTAAATACATTATCAACAATTAATGAAAGGTTGAAGTAAAGTCTGACCCATTATCTTTCAAGCTTGTGACTGCAGTTAGTAATTATTCCTGTTTAGCATATCAATTTGAAATAGCTAACATTTCTTACTAGTTGTTTCATTCCAAATACTAAAACTATGTACAAATATGTTAAATATCATCACAAGTAACATTAATATGTTAATATGTGTGTGTTTTGCATGGTTTAGGATCTGTAGAGCTACACATCGATGGATTTGCTCTTCAGTACTTGGACTCTCAGTAATGACTTTAAACCACACTGAACTGAGCTAAACTGAACTGAACTTAAACACTGAAAACTGAACTACCCTGATCCAGTTACTATGACCATTTATGTGAAGCTGCTTTGACACAATATACATTGTAAAAGCGCTATACAAATAAAGCTGAATTGAATTGAATTGTTTTACAACGTGTCTGTATTACAATCTCAACAATTTTTCACTAACCTTCCTGCTAGAAATGACCTCATCATAACTCACTAATAGACACGTGACATCATCAATCAGTATTATAATGACTGTAACTGTGTTTGTTAATGAGTAATGCAAATGAGATTCACTGAAATCTATTCTAGCTTTGCTAACCCTAACCACAACCTAAATTAACATGCCAAACAATCTCCAATGTCTTTTGGTGGGCTAATCAATGTTTAGATGGAAAGGTGCGCTAGTCATAAATAACAAAAAGAGATGTGGAATCCATCAATAAAGCCAAGCTCACCTTTTCAGCGGACATATCTGTTTCTTGAGGCTGTATCCAGTAAATGTGAAGGTGTTGCCGCTCGGGTGCTGTTGTGAAAGTGTGCAGCTTTACTCAATGAACCTCCATCAGCAGAAAGTGCTAAGCGGATTTGACCTACACTGACAGCCATCTGTTCAGTCCAGATCCGACACTGCCAACAGATCATCTGCTCATTAACCACAGCTTCTCATTAATAATGGGAGAATACACACTCAAACTATTACGTTTGTTGCTTGTTCAAAATACTTATTTAAAATTTGTTGATACAACATAATTATTAAGTTAAATTTATTAAAATAAATTACTTTTGGGACTTAAACTGTTAAAAAATTATTAGGTTAACTTAATTGATTTGTGTTGGGACAGTGTGAAGGAATTGTGTGGAACCGAGCATTTGTTTTTACAGTGCAAGGCATTCGTCAACAACAAGAAAAAAAAAAAGTTTTGGCTTTTGGATTTTTGTTCAAGCAACTTATTTAAAACGAGCTACAATTATTTATTTAAAATGAGCACAATTCTTGAGAATTTGGCTCCAGGTTGTTGTATCTGCACCATAAAGACAGCTGCTCCACCTCTTGTCTGTATGCAGACTCGTCACTGTTCCGGATGAGGCCGATAACAGTAGTGTCATCTGAAAACTTAAGGAGCTTGATGGAGTGGTTTTTGTGGTGCAGTTGTTGGTGAACAGGGAGAAGAGCAGTGGAGAGAGAACACATCCCTAGGGGGGCACCAGTGCTAATAATGCGGCTGTCTGATGTGATTTTGCCCATTCTAACTAGCTGTTGTCTATCTGTTAGAAAGCTGGTGATCCATTGACAGACAGAGATAGGAACAGAGAGCCGGGTCAGTTTGTAACTAGGAACAGAGAGCCGGATCAGTTTGTAAGACAGCTGAGTCAGTCTGTAAGAGAGCTGGGTCAGTTTGTAAACAGAAACGCCCAACGTAGGTGTTTCAATCAATCATTCAAAATCTAAACATGATCACAATATCAGGACATACAGAAAAACAATGAGAAAATCCACCAGAGGCAGCTGTCGACTGAATGACTGACTGACCCATCCTCCTTCATCAATAAAAACCCAACACATAGTGGCATAGTGGTCCTGAGGTAAATAAGTGATATCTCTGAACTTTAATAATAAATCTAAATAAAATGCTGCACTTCCCAAGTCCAGTCGCAATGACTTCTGGGACTTCCCAACCTATACTGTTTTCAAAAGCCTCGATTGACCCGCCCACTCACTTCCCTACACCCAACCAATAGTGTTTTCAAAAGCCTCGATTGACCCGCCCACTCACTTCCCTAAACCCAACCAATAGTGTTTTCACAAGCTTCGATTGACCCGCCCACTCACTTCCCTACACCCAACCAATAGTGTTTTCAAAAGCCTCGCTTGACCCGCCCACTCACTTCCCTAAACCCAACCTATAGTGTTTTCAAAAGCCTCGATTGACCCGCCCACTCACTTCCCTAAACCCAACCAATAGTGTTTTCACAAGCTTCGATTGACCCACCCACTCACTTCCCTACACCCAACCAATAGTGTTTTAAAAAGCCTCGATTGACCCGCCCACTCACTTCCCTAAACCCAACCAATAGTGTTTTCACAAGCTTCGATTGACCCGCCCACTCACTTCCCTACACCCAACCAATAGTGTTTTAAAAAGCCTCGATTGACCCGCACACTCACTTCCCTAAACCCAACCAATAGTGTTTTCAAAAGCTTCGATTGACCCGCCCACTCACTTCCCTAAACCCAACCAATAGTGTTTTCAAAAGCCTCGCTTGACCCGCCCACTCACTTCCCTAAACCCAACCTATAGTGTTTTCAAAAGCTTCGATTGACCCGCCCACTCACTTCCCTTCACCCAACCAATAGTGTTTTCAAAAGCCTCGCTTGACCCGCCCACTCACTTCCCTAAACCCAACCTATAGTGTTTTCAAAAGTTTCGATTGACCCGCCCACTCACTTCCCTTCACCCAACCAATAGTGTTTTCAAAAGCCTCGCTTGACCCGCCCACTCACTTCCCTAAACCCAACCTATAGTGTTTTCAAAAGCTTCGATTGACCTGCCCACTCCCTTCCCTAAACCCAACTGACAGTGTAAAACAGCAATCAAGAAAAAGAAAAGCCCTCGCCTGAATTTTACCACGTTTTCAGATTTTACCACATTCTCACCCTGTTATTTACTTATTTAATTTTTTTTGGCTTCAGTTTTTGTCTTACCTGCTTTCTGGAACCGTTCTTTGCTGGACTCAAACCTCGCTGTCGTGCTCAACTCCTCTCTGCATCTCAAGTCCACCGGCGTACATGGGGAGCTAACTGGACAAACTGGTTACAGCAAGAAAGCCGTCCATACGGAGGTAAGCTGTCAGCTGGTAGGTGCGAAAAGGAACGGCGTCGTACTGCTCGTAGCATTCATTAAAGACAAAATGCAGCCATACGTACCTCTGGCACCATAATTCAGGATCTCCAGAAATGTACATGTTTTCAGAATGAGCCTAGGTTGGAAAAGTCAGGGAAAAAGTGTTAAAAGGTGTGAATATTTTAATTCAATGAACAAACTATAACATTGATGCATATAAACCTCTAAATTAGGTCTACAATTAATGGTAATAATTCAAATGATGTTTTTATTTACAAACTTGGTGATTGTAAATGATTTGTTTACTTCATGTTGGGGTACTGATTACACTTAAACAGTGGTTCTCAAACTGTGATACGTGCAGTGGTACGCAGGCTTCCTTCTAGTGGTACGTGGAGGAATTGCTGAATAATAAAGTAAAAAAATTAACACACTTTTAACGCATACGATAACACAGATGAGATCAGTACATTAATTTTAATAGGCTAAACCTTTTATTTTATTTTCGATGTTTTAATGTTTGTTATGTATTCTATCATTTGAAGGTAATTTCCTTCCCATATTTGTAACAGTTGTTGGGAACATATCCCATATTTTTATATCCCAAAACTGACAGCTATAGTTTAATTACTTTTCTGACACACTAGGCCTACCCTAACGCACAGTAAGCAAATCTAATATCTAATTTAAATATGTAAATATAAATGATATATTTAAAGTACAAGTTAATGTTTAGATTACAAAGATTTACAAATGAGACATATAAAATGATTACATAAAAAAGAAGTTCATATATGAATATGATGATATTTATGAGGTCCAAGGAACATTTGCAGGTTAATGAATAGGCTACTATATGATAATACTTTACATTTAAACACAGCAGATTTCTGTTTACTTTCAGAACAGTGCCATTTTTAATTATTTTTCAAAAGCACACACTGATGTTTTATTTATTTTTAATGTTTTAGCTAATGTTCAAACTATTAATAATGTTAAAAGTGGCTGACCCTAATAAATATTCATAACAATAGGAATTAATCTGTTATGTTTTTGAACTGTGCAGAGCTGTAGCTGCTTAATTAAGCCTAATACGCTACTCTGTATTTCAACACTGGTCATTTTGGTGGTACTTGGAGGGACAATTTTTTTCTGAGGTGGTTCTTGGTGAAAAAAGTTTGAGAACCGCTGCACTAAAACAATGCTGGGTTCTTGTTATTCAAAGTTGTTTTAAATACGGACAAACCAAGTGTTGGGTAACAACAGAAATGTGTTGATTTGTGACCCTCACTGTAAAAATAAATATATTCGGCCTTACTTTTTTTTTTTTCTAGTTGAATCAAATAAACTTTTCTAGTCATCTTATTAGTCAAAGTGATTAAAAATAGTAAGTTAATCTTTTAACAATTATTCTACTTATTATTATTATTACTGCATTGTTATTAACTGACCATGCAACCAAACTCTAAAATATAAATAAAAAGCTTAAATGTATTTCACAAGATTAATGTTTAGAATTGATTTACAGTGACCATATACTGTATATTTAACATTTTATTTTATTCATTTCTTTTGATGAAAGTCAAATCATGTAATTATTGAATAATATAATATGAGTGTCATTTGAAAATAAACAATTAGCTTGTGTTAGTATATTCAAACTTTACTTATTTTCGCACGATACACTGTGAAACTTTTGTATTCATAGAGAGATGGCAATTACTGGAAATGTTGCAGAAAGAAACTAAATAAGCTAATTTATTGAAATTACTGATAATTGTATAAATTTTATTACTTGTATCAATATAATATTAATTATAACTACCAAGAAAATAAATAAAAATACAACTTTTATACTTTCAGTTTGATTTTGTTTTTTATTATATAATAAATAAATATATATATATATATATATATATTTTTTTTATTAATTATACATACATACATATATATATATATATATATATATATATATATATATATATATATATATATATATATATATATATATATATATATATAATATTTATTATATATATATTTTTTTTTATTAATATATACTATATTTCATAGTTTTATTCTTCATCATCTGGCCATCAAGATCATCCAAAATCCTAATCATCCAGATCAGTGTATGATAAACATGTTAATCTTATTAATAATGCACGTCACTCTAATAAACACTGGGATTTCTCACGATTGCACATGATCCACAATAATGATTTAACCCTGAATTTATAGCTCACCTGTCAGGTTTAAATTTAGTTGAATGACTCACGTTTTGAACACTCGCCCTACTGACACGTTCAACAAACATTTACAGTTGCTTTACTACTGTACACCTGTTCATCACAAACACTTGATGACATTCCTTGAAATTCTATGCAAAACAGCTTTAAAATGCATGAATGATTCAGCGTCACAGTATTATCACACCGTAAAAAAATGTTGCTGCCTTAAATATTTAAGTTCAATCAAATTAACTTTAAGTCGCTTCAACTAACATCAATTAAATAGACTTAAAACATCAGGTTTAAATTTGCATAGCTTAAAAAAATAAGTCTGTAATATATACTGCTCAAAAAATAAAGGGAACACAAATAATTCAATGCAAGTCTGTGTATTTTGTTTATTTTTTAAACCATATATAAATAAGCACAGCTGAAGTCAGAAATATTAGCCCCCCTGTTTAATTTTTTCCCCCAGTTTCTGTTAGAGA